AAAGTTGACTCAAGTACTGATTGATTTTGCCTTAGATGAAGTGTAAACAAAACCAATGAACACAGATGGTTATCAGGATTTGCAGGAGCTCAATTATACTCATGCTCAGTTAAGAGTTTACTCTATACATTATAGGATCCCTTACATTTTATGTAACACCACTGAAGAAGTCAGAAAAGTGAATTTCACTGAATGATCCTCACTGAAATGTAGTAGTATTTTAATTCATGCATGATTAATGTATAAAATCTTATTCACTGTATATAGAAAGTGCTTCAGTATTCTGAAGTGGTGAAGTAAATCTGATTTTCTGCCTTAATCCTTTATTCTACTAAGATGCCACATACTTTACAAAAACATGTTGGTTTGAAGACGTTTTTGGACATGAAATTATATGTCATGAGGGATGTCTTTTTAAAAATTTCACTACCAAAGTTAAAGACATTGAAAATGTTGCTCAAAATTCAAGAAAAAACATATAGAAGTAAACTTACATATATAAGTAAGCACAAGTAAAATGTGAAATATAAGTATTAGTCTCTATGACAATATTGCAATTTTGATACTGCACTACAGTTTTGCAAAATATTACCATGGAGAAAAATTGATAAATTATGTGTAATGTCTCCTTGCACTATTTATTACATTTGCATTTGAACCTAAAATTGTCATAATAAAAATTAAAATATAATACCATAACTTCATTATAACTTATATTAATGCAACATGAGATAAGAAAAATTTTCTTCTGTGAATTTATTTCAATGGATAAGAACCAGTTATACCAACACCAGGAATCATATGAATATAAATATCAAAATAACATTGTATCATTCAGAGTTTACTAGAGAAACAGATACAACACAAGACATACAAATATATACAAAATTATAAGACTGATTTAAGATGATCAGTCACAGAGTTGGATGAGGAAGTATGCAGAGGGTGTCTGGAAGCTGAATGCTGGATGTTGAAGGGTCCAGCCCAAGGTTTACAGCTAACTGCAGTGTCCTGTGCAAGTCCATATCAGAAGATGGATGGGACTGGGATGGAACATTGAAGTGTCTGTGGTGGAAGGTAAAGGAGTCTCCACCAGAAGGCTGAAGAGTCCTGGGTTGAAGCCAAACAGTCTGCACCAGAAGCCAGAAGACCAGGTCCACACTGAAGGGGAAGACTGGAGCTCCTCCAAAGAACCAGCAATCAGTCTTTCCTAATTTCCCTTTTACTGTATGCAGGCTACAACCCTCGGATGGGTATAGCACTCACACCATCTCTATAACCTCTGCTTATACAGGCTGAGGATGTGACAAAATTAGAGGACCTGAATCCCTGCTAAATTCACTTATGACATTCTCAAATTGACACAATATATCAAGCATTATAAACTTTATCTATAATTATTTATTTACAATAGTAAGGAAAATAAAAAGTATTCTTATTTTGTTTATATGGAATAAAGTCCCAGAGAAAGAATTTTCATTTCTATGGAGCTATTTTTGGAATTAAATTGTAGGAGCTCCTTACATATTTTGAACATTAATTATGTACCAGAGGTATGATTTGTAAATTAGTCTTCCTTTTTGGTGTGTGTTTTTAACATTTTTTGTTTATTTCATTTGTTACACAGTTATATTTGACATGATTTTTAATTTATATCTTGCAGTTTATGCTTTTAGCGTTATACTCAATAAATTGTTTCCAAGGTCATTGTCACAAGCTCAGTACAATTTGCTTTTATAAGATGAAATTAAACATTTGTAATGACACTTTTTTCCCTAAGTAAGATTCTTACAGATTTTGGTAAACATTACTCAATACTTTTATTTTCACATCAGGGTAGATATTTGCATAGAGTAATGAAGATTCTGAATTCCTTTTAATAACATACTTAGAAATATTGGTATGGAAACATCTTAGTTGAAATTTGAAATGATTCTCATTTCAGTCAAATAAGAAGTGCTATCAACAATCTAAGGACAACTTTAGGAACTCAAGGTTTGCAATGACATTTAGGGAAAATTAGTGTAGTTCTTAGTGTTTACAAATATCCACACTAGTTTTAAAAGAAAGTTCATTATATACATAAGAAGTGGGATGCTTCCGGAATCAAAAGAAAATAGAAATACGTTAAAAATACATATCCATGGTTAGATGGATAGATAGATAGATAGATAGATAGATAGATAGATAGATAGACTATTCTGAGATTTCTACTTTCTTTTATTGTTAAGTTATTTGAGAGAGGGTCTCACTATATACTTCAGCCAGGCCTTGAACTCAGTCCATGGATCCTACGGAGTTGGATTCATAGTGATCCTCCTGCTTTAGCCTCCTTAGTGCTAGAATTACAAGCATACACTACCTTGATCAGTTCATCTGAGATTGCTTATGACAATATGCAACAAATCAAATTTAAAAGGTTTATATAATAAAGTAATGCTTTCCTTACAATCCTGTAAGTAATCAGATCACACCTAAAAAATGATTTAGACATTTGAAAATTTTATATAAAAGAAGCTCATATTCTTTCGTGTTCAGGTAAGAAACTGCATTGTCTCTTTCTCACCTCTAAAGGTTATCAATTCTAGCTATATTCATAACCTTGTTTTGTTATGGACATTTGTATACTGTTGGCAACATGTAAGCATGCTAATTATGTCTTACTCTGCACTGTTTCAGATTACTTTTCATTAAAACCTAGGGAAAGTAAAAATAGTTAAGGATATCATATTGTAATTGTGCATGCACACATGTTGTTTGTAGCAGCACAACCCATAAGAGTTAGACCAAGGAACTGTCCTATATGCCAATCACCTGAAAAATGGATAACGAAAAAGTAAAATACATACAAGATGGAAATGTTCTCAGCCACGAAAGGGACAAATTTGAATCACTATAGAAAAATGAATGTACCTTGTGTTCATAATGCTAAATGTAACGCATCAGACCCAGAAAGTGATAGATAACATACTTTATCCTATATGAGAAACCCAAGGTATAAACAATTACAAAAGTAAAATAAAATAGTAAAATAGTTAAAAAGTAAAATAACTGAGTAAATTAAAACAGTGAAATAGATGATAGAGAAGAGATTATGTGAATTTGCAAAGCAGATCTAGGAGTGGGGAGAGACAGAAGGAGAGGAGATGCAAACGTGAAAGGAAAAAGATGAAACATGAAGCTGTTCCCCAAAAGAAACATGTTCACTGCACATCGCAAACAAATACTAGTCATTTTATTTAAAAAAAAATCATGGAAAGAAACAGCTGTTTTTTATTTCAAATCATCTTGACATATGTTTATTTTATATTCATCAATATTTTCTCAACAGTCCCTGTAAAACTATTCCCTCTGTACTGACTGCTGCGAGCAGCTTCCCATACGTCTCATCGGAAATGCACAAAAAACACGGATCAGGTGCTATTTTTAGGTCTTTATGGGTTTGTGATTTTAAAAATATTTTCATTCCAAACAATTTTTCACAATTCCTTTTCATGAGGTTTCTATCTGAGAGTCAGCATTGAAAATGAATCAAATAATCCTTGATGGGGAAAGGAAAGCATGGCAGACTCAGTGTCCATGACTACAGACAGCAGTGATGGTGATGAACAGAAAGGTGACAAAGTTGATGAGTAAGGAGAACCTGAAATCCTTGTCAAATTTTCAGTCTGAATTCTCTGTTTTCACTGTCCTGTGTCACAGTGTGAGCCAGGGAAATGATTTTAATCTTTCTTTTTATTTCAAATTTTTGACTATTTACCCTAGAACTTATAGAAAGACAAGTGATACATGGAGTATCAATTAACAGTGGCAAAATAATTTTTGTTAAAAAGATACTCTGATTTGCTTGCCAATAAAAATATTGTTAGTTAGAAAACAAAAGCTTGAAGAAAATACAAGTTAATATAGTGAAAAGAGTGATTTGCTTTTGTTACATAGCAAAATAAAATTATGGCAAATAGGGACTATTTATATCTTTTGATGTTACATAGATTGGTTAAAACAGATTTTTTTCAGAATAAGTGACATATTTTAAACAGTATAACATTATAATGCATTCAAACAAATATACATTTGTATATAACATAAGTGCTATATTGTATAAAACAATTATTTGTCTAGAAATTAAAACGAGTCATTTGAGTCATCAAAAAACAAAACTATTTTTATGTCTTCTTTAAAGTAGCAAAATAAATGAGTCTCTTCTTTTGCTTCATAAAATATTTAAATTTATATATACTAATTCATACATGCATCACTGATGCATAACAATTATACACACTGATGGATGCCGTGTTATATCTTAACACATGCACACAGGGAAGAAATGTTCAAGTACGATCAACCTATCCAGGCACGGACCTTTTTTAACACAGTCCTTGATACCACTGTTGATATCATTATGGTATAAGGGAAAACTAGGACTGCAAACAGGTGTTTGGCTTTGTCAACACTTAAAAAATACATTTAAAACAATCAGGGGTTTTGTTTTACTTTTATCTCATCTTTAACTACATGTACGAACCCACCTCCATAAGACAGTAAAAGTGAAATTAAGTATAGTAAAGAAATTGAAGACAAAAAAACCTGCTTGTGTATTAAAAAATACTCAACCTATACACTGATGCATTTAAAGGGATGGCTAATATAAAGATCAATAAAAATGCGACAAGGTCTAATAATAAAAAATGTGTTATATAGGCTTACAAGAATAAGACAAGTGAGGAAAATTCCCAAAGTTTGAAAGAAAATAATTGCCAATACGAAATGTAAAAACTCTACAGAAATCTGCATGATAATGTTAAGCAAAATTTATAGTTGAAGATAAAAAGTCACGACCTCTATAAATTGAAGAAAAAATATTGGCGTATTTTATCTGTTTGTCATCTTATATAAATGATAACATGTAAAAAGTTATGTCAGAGAGTTGTAATAGTGATGAATTACTCATTTATTAGTTCTTCAAGGATTGATATAAATGTACCTTTTTATTTCGCAGTTTACTTTTTAAAGAACTGTTTCAGGACTTTGTCTCGAATCTGCTTAGTTTTCACCACATACACAATGGGATTCATTACTGGGGGAATGAGGAAGTGCATGTTGGCCATGGTCACATAGACGTGGGAGGGAAGCCTGGGGCCAAAGCGGTGCAGCATAGACAGGCAGATCATGGGTGTGAAGAAGAGGACCACAGCACATAGGTGGGAGATGCAGGTGTTGAGAGCTTTGAGGCGCCCACCATGGGAGGCAATGCTCAGCACAGTTTTCAGAATCAACACGTAAGAAAGGAGAATGAGGAGGAAGTCAAGACCCATGGTGGAGAGCACCACGAAGAGTCCATAGATGCTATTGACCCTGGTATTGGAGCAGGAGAGCTTTATGATGTCAGGATGCAGGCAGTAGGAATGAGAAAGTACGTTGGAGCCACAGAAGCACAGCCTCTTCAAGAGGATAGGCAGAGGCACCTGCACTGTCAAAGTTCGAATAACAATAATCAAACCTATCTTCCCAATCACCCTGTGAGTGAGGATGGAGGAATAGCGCAGTGGCTGAGAAATGGCGACATAGCGATCAAAGGCCATAGCGAGAATAACAGCAGATTCACCAACCTGGAAGGTGTGAATGAAGAACATCTGGGTGAAGCAAGCAGGGAAGGTCAGCTCTCGAGCATCCAGCCAGAAGATGCGCAGCATGGTGGGGAAGGTGACGAGGGACAGGCCCAGGTCAGAGGCAGCCAGCATGGCCAGGAATAGGTACATGGGCACATGGAGACTGTGCTCCCTCCACACAACTGTGATGATGGTCAAATTGCCCACCAAGGTGATGAGGAACATGGTGCAGAAGGGTATAGAGACCCCGACGTGGCCAGCTTCCAGCCCTGGGATGCCTGTGACCAGGAAGCTGGAGAAGATAGAGCTGGTGCTGTTAGCAGGAAAAATGATGCCAGAAGCGCATACTTGTCCTGGAATGAAATGTCCCAGAAACACACCTTAATGTTTGATCGTTTATTTTTAAAATTTTGAGTACGTCCCCTAGGTTTTTTCATTGATGACCTCAATAATAATACTTTCTATTGTACTTTTGGTGCCTAACATAGAAAATAATACTTGATTGTTTGATCAAATTATCCAGAGTTTTACATAATTCCAAAAGAATGAATAAATTTTATTTCCATTATGTAGCCGCTTAAAAATTTCCATTTTTCTTTCCCTACACGAATTACAGCAAAAATTTTCTACTTGTAGACAAGTACACAAATGGAGGCACAGGAGAAAAAGTAGTATTTACCCTATTTTTGTATCTCAGAAAGCCATGTTTTGCTGATCTTCTACATTTAGTAAATACATTGTTACCCGGCAAATCTGTTCTGCATAAACCATACAATCCTTTGGCTTTGGTGCATTTTCCCTAAGAGTAGTGTTGTTTTCATCAGAATACACATTTATTTCTGAATCATGTGTTTCATCGATTGTGGATTTTCAAAGAAAGACACATTTGAAGCTCTTCCTCACTGGTAATATCTAAAAATGTTCCTTGATTGAGCTAATCAACATGTGTCTCTACTGTGAGATCCATAGGGAAGTAGTGGCGTCACCATTCTGCATGTGCTCCATGGCTTCGATCCCACAGACCAGGTTTGTATTTCCATACAGACTGACCACCGTAAGTCACAGTAATACATTTAAACTGTAAAATATCATCTCTTAAATTTCACAGCCAAGCACTTGGAAACTTCAGTCACTGACACATATCTCTTCTTTTGTGTTCTTAAATGAGGGTGTAATTCATGACAGTTTTGGAGATGAGAAATCAGAAAGACTAAAGAAAGCAGTAGATAAGCCATGGGAACTGTCTCCCCAAAGACACCCAAAGATGATCATTAACTATCTCTTCTTTTGTTTTCCTTGATTTCCGTCACATTTGTTTAGTGGATACATAAACCTAAAGTACAATATGAATAGAGATCTGCATGTGGAGATTGTTTTCATCTCAACTACTCTTGAACATTTAGTACAGAACTTGTTTATATTCCTTTAATGTTGCATATGAATATCTGTCATTTCTAATAGATTCACATGAGATGGATAGCAGTTTTACTGATTTATGCATCTGTATATTCTCCCACAGATCTTCATGTAAGGTTGAAATAAACCATTATAAATAAATACAATCAGTGGTGGTAATCATAAGGAAGCCCATGGCCTCTCCCTTTGCTGATACACCTCAAATTCTTGGTGCAAAGCATCACATAATATGTTGCACCATAGTGGAAAATGAGGGAAGCAAGCAGGGCCAAGTCCAGATCATGGAAAGCTCATGTGCCTTGGTAAATAATGTCAACCTATAGGATTTGAGATCCATTATACTTTCCAGTGTGCATCTTAAAAAGAACTCTAACAGATATCCATGGGCCCCAACATTTCAGAAGTCAGTATCTGGCCTGCATCTTGTTTTGAGTTTGTTTTCTTTGTCTTTACACAAGTAATGCACAGAATATCTCCTTTCCTAGGGTCAAAAGAGAAAGGATTCCCAGAAGTGGAAAGACAGTTTGATTTTCATTTTTTCTAAATCAAGTAATTATGCTAATTTTTTTTTTTTTTTAAATTGGTACCAGGGATGGAACTCACGACTGCCTGCCTGGAAGGCAGTTTCTTATGCCGCTGAGCTAAATCCCCAGCCCCAATTATGGTATTATTTTAAAATGAAAAATTAAAGCATAACACTTTAAGTGAAATGTTAATTAAAATAATGTACAGTCTTAATTTTCTGCATTTTCATAGAATTGTATTATTGTAGAATTTTTTATCAGCCTTGGCTAGAAATGCTAAATGTTAGACTAGTTATTTATAGCATTTTTTCCTGTGTTTTGCTTTTCTCTTGAGAGATGAGTATAGAAATTAAAAATGCATGTAGTTATTTGGGAACTATTTTACGTATTTGACATAATAATAGGAAAGTATTCTCTAAAAATAAGATTTGGTGCTTTGGGGGTATGTTTTTATTATTTTAAAGAAATTGAATTTTATTTACACTGCATGACACATTTATCATATGGATTGTAAGCAAATCACACTTTTTCAATGCCTCACTGCATAGCATGGAATAATTGTGTTAATCAAAAACTTACTTAAATTATGTACATAATAAAATAAAATATAAAAATATTGCTGTAAAATTCAAAATGTAAAAATCATGAGTGTAGATTTTAATGCTTGCCCAAAAAGCATATAGACTCTTAAATTTGTGGAGAAATTTTAAAATTTTATTTAACAATACATAAGGGTTTCTTTCATAATGACTATTATATGTTTGAAAGTGAAAATTGTTTGCAGTTCTATAATTAACAAGAGCAGTACACTAGCCTACTTCACAGACTTGGTTCAGTATTGATCATCTGCTCCTACTTTATTCAGCCAAATCCTTTATAGATGATTTGGTCCAGATTCCTAACTCTAAAATAGAATTTAAGCTTATAGCAAGAATAAAAACTATTAATATGAACTAGTTTGTTTAAAAATAGCAGACATATACTAGATATATTTATATAAAAGCACTGTAAAATACGCAGGGAAACTCCATTATATCATTCATTATTTATCCTGGACAAAACATGCACTGAATATATTTGAGTTGTGGCACATATATTCTCTAGGTCACCTCTCAAGGCTTCTAGTGTTTAGGAAGCTAAACACACATTACATACCTATTCTTCATTTTTCTATACAATAATGCTACATGCATTTAAATTTTTAAATATTTCATACAGTTTGTCCAAATTTTTCACTTTCTTTTGTTCATCAATGTCATTATTGTATTTTGTGAACCTTTCTGTGAATACACACTTCAAAATCTTCATTCCAACCTGAGCATGGTGGTGCTTGGGATTACTTGGGAGACTGAGGCAGGAGCATTGCCCTGATTTCAAGGCCAATTTGGTTACTTAGTCTGTTTAAGGCCAACCTAAACTACAAAGTGCGACCCTCTCTCAACAAACAAAATGAAATAAAACACTTCTTTATTCTGGGAGCAAATAGACTATTTCTTATATGTACTAATATTTAGTTAAAGTACCTCTTGAATCTGATTCTTGATCAGGGGAAGAGTCCTAGAAAAAATGTTTAAAAACATTCAAGATTTCCTTTATTTTGACTTAAAGCATAACAATCATAAATATTCTGCTTATTGCTTCATTAGTTCATTTCCAACTATAGATCAGAGTATCAACCTACATTAATTTGGGTGACAATTATAGAAGTGAGTAGAGTGATTAATTTAAATATTATGTCTTATCTTGAAAAATGTAAACGAAGTTAACAGTAATTTCATAAGCGCCATGGGCATTTTCCCGTTTACTTAGAATTATGCTGCCTTTGATAGAAAGGATTTAGACATCTCCTTTCCCATTTGTGAAACATACACTCTGCCTGGTCTTTGTGTGCTTGTGTGTTGTATGTGAGTGGAAGGGTGGGAGAATTAGCACAGGCATGCACGCACCCCAGCTAGACTCATCTGCTGCTTGATTTCTTCTCAATGTTCTGTTGTTGGATTATTTGTATTTTCAAAATCAAAAGCCTTTGGCCTCAACCTCAATAAATGCTTATGTTCAGCAATGTGATGAACCTCAAATGCGAGCTATAAATATGGATAGCATTTCTGTTCAACAATTCACAAATACTTTAAACTCATTTCTTTTATGTCGTTCTATGACACCTATTCTGAGTCTAAAATATCAAGATCAGTGTCATGGAAACAATATCATTCCTCAAAATTCTGTGATTCCCTTTTTCTCCATTCACCAATATTATTAAAATCTTCTTTGGCCTTAATTTTATCTTCAAACTCAGTTTTAGAAAACTTGTTTTTTATCTCACCTCGTATATCAAACAGCATTGTTGCTAAAGTCCTGCAGAACAGTTTTCTTTACTGTGTGGAGAACTGGAGACGCCTGTGACCTGAATTGAAGCACCTTCTTATTAGTGTGACTCTCCCCAGAGAATGGAGCTTTCTGGATCTGACAGTTAGCACGTTTTACTGCCTAGGAATCCCACAACGTTGGCTCAAACGCTGGTTCATTTCACATTAGATGAAGCGGGAACAAAACTGATGAATACAGTGTTTCACATGGTGGTATCAGAATTTGCATGAACTCAATTTTACTCATACTAAGTTAAATAAAATTACTATATGCATTGTAGGATCCCTTACATTTTATGTAAAACCACCGAAGGAATCACATTTCACTGAATGCTCCTCATTGAATTGTAGTAAATTTTTAATTCAGAAATAATTTAGATATAAACCTTTATTCACTGTATATAGAAATTACTTTAGTATTCTGAAGTGTGAAGTAAATCTGACTTTCTGCCTTCATCCATTATTCTCCTAAAATGCTACCTACCTTACACAAACATGTTTTTCAGTGGACATTTGTTGACATGGAACTGCATGTCATGAAGGATGCCTTTTTTAGGATATCACCATGCTAAAGTCAAAGGCATTGAAAGTATTGGCTAAAGGTCAATTAAAGAAAAATATATAGAGCTAAATATATGCATATAAAAAAGTAAAATGTGAAATATAAATATTTATATCTATGAAAATATTGCAATTTTGTTTTGTTGTTGTTGTTTGGCACCAGGCATCGAATTCATGACCTCAGGCTTGCCAGGCAGGCACTTAGGTCACTGAGCTAAATCCACGGCTAATATTGCAATTTTGATACTGCACTAAAAATTTGCCAAATGTTATCATGGAGAAAAAAAAATTGATAACTAACGTATAGTATCTGCTTGCACTACTTATTAAATTTGTTTTTTAAATATAATATTGTCATAATAAAAGTTAAAATTTAATTAGCATGACTACAAATTCATAACATATTAGTATAATGTGAAATGAGAAAAAAATTTCCTTCTAACAACGAATTTATATCTATGGAGAAGATCAATTATATAAACACCAGGAAGCATAGGAATATAAATATCAAAACAGCATTGTATCATTCAGGGTTTACTAGGGAAGCAGATATAACACAATATATGGAAATGTATATGAAATTCCAAGATTTATTTAAGATGGTCAGTCACAGAGTAGGACAAGGAAGTGTGCAAAGGGATCTGCAAGCTAGATGCTGAAGGGTCCTGCTCAAGGCCTGAAGCTCACTGCAGTGTCCTGTACGATCCATATCTGGAAACTGATAGATCTGTGATGGAATGCTGAAGTATCTGTGCTGGAAGGCTAGAAGTCTCTACCAGAATTTTAAAGAGTTTTGGGCTAAAGCCAAACAGTCTGCACCAGAAGCCAGAAGACCAGGTCAAAGCTGAAGGGGATGACTGGAGCTCCTCCAAAGAACCAATTATCAGTTCTTCCTCATTTCCAGTTTATTGCTTGCAGGCTGCACCCCTCAGGTGGTTGTAGCCCTCACACCATCTCCACGATCTCATCCTACACAGGCCGAGGGTGTGACAAAATTAGGACCCTGAACCCTTGCTGAATCATTTAGTTAAACCTCTAACTTTCTCAGATTGAGATAATATATCAACCATTATAAACATGCTCTATAATCATTTAGTAACAACAGTAACAAAAATAGAAGGCATTATTATTTTGTTAA